ACAGAGCCGAAGACCTGCGGAGGTCCCTCGGACGCCTCCCGGCGGGCTCACCTTGGGGGCGAAGGCCGACTGGAAGAGCTCCTTCAGGCTGAAGGCGTAGGCCTTGGACTTGCCCGTCTCCGAGGCGTAGAGGATGGTGGCCTTGACCCGTTGGGCCATCACGTGGCCCATCAGCTTGGCGGAGATCTTGACGGCGCTGCGGGGAGGGAGAGGAGACACCGGCTGGGGAGGGAAGGACCCGTAGCCCATCCTTCCTCCTTTTGGGGACGGGGGTCCGGGGACCGACGGGGCGGCCCTCGTTCTTCGCCTCCCGAGCGTCGGAGAACCCGGGGAAGGGTGGAAGGTCCTTACTTGGCGATCTCCTTGAAGGTCTTCTTCCGGGTGATGGTGGTCCCTTTGGGGATGTAGGACTTCCAGGGGTCAGCCTGCGGGTAGAGGGAGGTCGGTTTAGGGGAGGGGGCCGGGCCCGCGGAGGGTTGGAGAGCCCTCAGCTCTCCAGCTGGGTGGAGGGGCTGCGGCAGGCCGCCGCCGCGCGGGCTTGGTGCCTGTCCCGGAGGTCCCGGCGACGCGGGGAGTCCTCGGCTTTACGACCGGAAGCGTTCGGTGAGGGGCCGTCGGAGGTTACGGCCCTGGAGAAGTCTCCGGTGGTGGGTCCTCGCACTTACAGCCATCAAGAGGTGTCCAGGGATCAAAATCTGGGTACTACGCCTCCTCCTCCCCTCTTGTCCTCCCTTTCTCCTTTCTCCTTCTTTCTCCTTTCTTCTTCTCCTTTCTCCTCTTTTCTCCTTCTCCTTTCTCCTCTTTTCTCCTTCTCCTGGTTTCTGCGCCTCCTCCTCCCTTCTTGTCCTCCCCTTCTCCTTTCTCCTTCTTTCTCCTTCTCCTTCATTCTCCTTCTCCTCCTTTCTCCTTCTCTTTCTCCTTCTTTCTCCTTGTCCTTTCTCCTTCTCCTTCATTCTCCTTCTCCTCTTTTCTCCTTCTCCTTCTTTCTTTCTCCTTCTCCTTGCTTCTCCTCCTCCTCCTCCTTCGCTCTTGTCCTCCCCTTCTCCTTTCTCCTCCTTTCTCCTCCTCCTTTCTCCTTCTCCTCTGTTCTCCTTCTCCGTTCTCCTCCTCCTCCTTCTTTCTCCTTCTCCTTTGTTTCTCCTTCTCCCCCTCCCCTCTTGGCCTCCCCTTCTCCTTTCTCCTTTCTCCTTCTCCTTCTTTCTCCTTTCTCCTCTTTCTCCCTTTTCCTTCTCCTTCTTTTTCCTTCTCCTTCTCCTTCTCTTCCTTTCTCCTCCTCCTTTCTCCTTTCTCCCTTCTCCTTTCTCCTTCTCCTCCTTTCTCCTTCTCCGTTCTCCTCCTCCTCCTTCTTTCTCCTTCTCCTTTGTTTCTCCTCCTCCTCCTCCCCTCTTGGCCTCCCCTTCTCCTTTCTCCTTTCTCCTTCTCCTTCTTTCTCCTTTCTCCTCTTTCTCCCTTTTCCTTCTCCTTCTTTTTCCTTCTCCTTCTCCTTCTCTTCCTTTCTCCTCCTCCTTTCTCCTTTCTCCTTTCTCCTTCTCCTCCTTTCTCCTTTCTCCTTTCTTCTCCTTCTCCTTCTCGTTCTCTTCCTTCTTTCTCCACCTTCTCCCCTCTTGCTCGTTCTCCTTTCTCCTTCTCCTTTCTCCTTCTCCGTTCTCCTTCTCCGTTCTCCTCCTCCTCCTTCTTTCTCCTTCTCCTTTGTTTCTCCTTCTCCCCCTCCCCTCTTGGCCTCCCCTTCTCCTTTCTCCTTTCTCCTTCTCCT